TATTTTATTATTAAAGTGGTTATACAGCAGAGAACAGTAGACAGACAATATAATATTGTACAATGGGCGTTTATTTTGTGAAATATATAATTGTACATCCTTTTTGTTGTATCCGCCCTGCAGTCCAAATTGATTACCATAGCTCTTGCAAAGGCTTATCCAAGTCTAACTGACGCATTTACGCCTGTTGGTATTCTACACCACCTCGAGACAGCCTCCTTTTAGTAGGAAAATATCAAAAACGACTATAGAATTGTGCCGTCTTCTTATTTATGTTTCTGTCATTAAATAATATTATCACATGTTTAACAACTTTCAATATATTTCTGTTACATTGTTATAGTTAATTATCGTTTTCAAACTTATTTTGGTAAATTTCGTTTCGGATAAAAGATCAATATTTAGTCTACTTTCATTTTCACTTTCTATTTTCGGTAGAAATCAGACTGTTGTTGTTTTTTATTGTTTTGGATTCAATCCATCTTTTTTCTATGTCATCCATCGTTGGTAAACCAAAGTGTGAGTAAGATTGTGTTCTATAATGATTATATTTGTATAATGCATTGATATTTCTGCGATAAAGTGCACTTTGATGGTTTTTGGAGCGACAGTCTGAGCAAGTATTTTATGTAAACATCGCTATATTTTGAGTGTTTTCATTGCATAACTTACCGTTATATTGAGTCAATATGAGAACTGTTTAGCCTTTGTATTGTCAGTATGTGTAACATTGTGTTTTATGTTTGTTTCAGCTTTTTACCTCGTTTTCTTCTCAATAAATCTATGATACTGAGAACTGGTTATCTATCTGCAAAGATCCCTTGCGGAACAAGCATTAACATAACGCGTGATTGCTTCTGTATCAAAGATGACATACTGAACACTAGCGATCCCGTGGTAAGAGTCAATACTTCTTGGCTGATGATAAGAAAATGAATACGAAAGGCTGTCAGCAACTGTTAGGAAAAGCATTTATGTGGAGGACAACAGACTGTCCGTGATGAACCTAATCTTAATCTCTGTACTCATCATTTTGTGTCTTACTTTGGTCGTTTTTTGACGGGTTCACTTTGTGTCGGTATTTGCATGTTCAAAAACTCATTAGGGTCCAGCATCTCGCTGATACGGAAGACCTTTCGTCTAATAGTTTTGCTTTCATGTATTTTCTTTTCTTATTTTTCGGGGCTCTTTAGAAGGCCTATCTACATTATATGCCGGGATTTCCATTTAAGCTTTTTGAATTGAAATTCTATGGTTCTATTTTACAAACTAGACCTTGGGTACGTCTTTCTGTTCCAGCTGTTCTATTCTCACTGGATTCCAAAAAAATAAAACTTCCATGTTTTTTTCTTTAATCCAAACACAATTAAACGATATTTACAAAAAATCTGCTTCTCGAGTATAATGGTTTTTATACGCACACATGAAATGGGGGGCGTATATTGCCGTCACCTATTTCCGTCGGTCCGTCCACAATTGCTCGTAAACACTCTACAAGGCACAATTCTTGACTGATTTCGACGAAACTTGGTATGGTTGTTTGTAATCACCTAAGGATAAACCCCATCGAAAATCAGAAAAATTGAAAAATATTTAGTATGAGTTATTGCCCTTGTCCTTGAAAACGCGTTCAATTTTGTCTTGTAAACACTCTAGAAGGCACAATTCTTGATGGATTTTGACGAAACTTGGTGTGAGTGTTTGTAATCACCCAAGGATAAACCCTATCGAAAATCAGAAAAATTGAAAAATATTAAGTATTAGTTATTGCCCTTGTTCTTGAAAACGCGTTCAATTTTTAGTTCGTAAACACTCTAGAAGGCACAATTCTAGACGGATTTTGACGAAACTTGCCATGAGTGTTCGTTATCACCATGGATAAACCGTATTTAAAAAAAGAAAAATTGAAAAATATTTAATATGAGTTATTGCCCTTGTTCTTGAAAACGCGTTCAAATTTTAGCTTGTAAACACTTTAGAAGGGACAATTCTTGACGGATTTTAACGAAATTTGGCTTGAGTGTTGGTTATCACCCAAGGATGAACCCTAATGAAAATCAGAAGAATCTAAAAATACTGAGTATGAGTTATTGCCCTTATTCTTGAAAACGCGTTCAATTTTTAGCTTGTAAACATTCTAGAAGGCACAATTCTTGACGGATTTTAACGAAATTTGGCTTGAGTGTTTGTTATCACCAATGGATAAAGCCTATTGAGAATGAGAAAAATCGAAAAAATATTTAGTATGAGTTATTGCCTTTGCTCTTGAAAACTCGTTCAATTTGTAGCTCATAAAAACTCTAGAAGGCATGATTCTTGCCGAATTTTGACAAAACTTGGTTTTGTTATTCATTACCACGCTGAAGATTGAATATTGTCTTCTAGAGTTTTCACAAGCTAAAGATTGAACACGTTTTCAAGAACTAGGGCAATAACTCATACTCAATATTATTCAGTATCGCCCTAAAGAGTTAAAAAGAAGTGTATGATGTTTGCTGTACTGCTAAATATTTATGTTCAAAATCAAAGCTGCCAGTGGGCGTATATTACCTTGCCTGGCAAACTATCTTTGTATTTAATTAATGGAAAAAAAGGTAATATTAAATTGATTTAGACTCTAAAACATCTTGTTCAGACGAGATACAAAGATTATTTACTGTTTTGTACTGTTGTATTGTTCTGAAAACAATAGTTCAAAACAGTTCATCGATTGGAATGTGTTCGACAAGTCTAGATCTATCGCATGAGTACGCTCATTCGACGATCCTCGGCAGTTTCCGTAAAGCTGTATCTGCCTGGTAGAATAAATGGTATATTTCGTCGTGACTCCTTCGGCGAGGATGTTTACTTCCGGCATATCACGATTATTTGTAAAGTGATAGTAATACATTCGGCAATCCTCGACAGTTTCCGTAAAGCTATATCTGTCTGTAAAAATGAATGGTATATTCTGTCGTGTCTTCTTGGGCGAGCCTGTTTACTTCCGGCATATCACGATTATTTGTCAAGTGATAGTAAAACACTCGTCAATCCTCGGCAGATTCCGTAAAGCTATATATGTCTGGTAGAATGAATGGTATATTTCGTTGTGTCTTCTTGGGCGAACCTGTTTACTTCCGGTATTTCACGATTTGTCAAATGATAGTAATATTGAGACCTGAATATAGACCTTATATCTAGAGCCTCTAGGGGAGAATTATTACACTTACTTATGTATTTAAAAATGCTATATTGTGACCATCGGTTTACCAATGACAAATTTTATGGTTTGTTCAAATTTAAAAACCCAAAATAGATTGGGTTCGGGTATAAGCTAGAGTTAAGTGACATCGTTTTGCGAAGTCTGATGTTAATAGTAGTCTTTGAAATTGCAAATTCGCAGCAGTGGCCCATGATGAAAAAAAACTAATCCTTTAAATTTTTTCGGCTTTTCTATCAACTTTCCCCTTATTTGTAATTCCGTATCTTCTAGCAATTATTTTGTTGTTTTGTTGTGTGTGAGCACATTATGCATGCCTCCATGGTCAATAACGATGTATTGGGTCTGCAACCTAGGAGTTGATCAAGGCAGCCCAAATTTTGGCAATTAGTTGTTGCATAACTGACCTGGTCCGCTTCTTGAATTCATCGAGTAAGTTCCAATATTTGTCACTAGAAAAATGATCAATCACCATCCTCTTCAAAAATTGGTTGATAGTGTAAAAATAGTATACGACAAAAGGACGCAGTCAATATTTCTTCTTCAGTCCCATTTCAGAAAAAATGGCTTCTATTCGTCAACAATTATTCTGAAAGGTGTGAATCATATCGACTCAATAAACCTTGATAAATGAAAAAATATGACATGTCCTCCCAGGGGAGATACAATGCATGACCAAGAACAAACATTAAGTTGAATCTGTTGTATTTTCTTCTTTCTATTCTATTGATTTCGTGACGAACTATTCGGTAACATTCCCTGAAAACCCTATAATATTTCTTTGATTGTGCTATATAAGTGCAAACCGCTGTATTTAATAAAAATTGTTTTTTTTGATAATTCAGACATGCGTTATTTATTCTAAATCATTGTTGTTTTACTGCTATGTCTTACAGCTGCAATCAGTGGTAATTTTTATACATAGGCGGATTCTTTGGACAGGAAATCATTCGCATCATTAAGAAAGGTGCCAAGGATAGGAAGCGGAATTACCAAAAGAATCACCCAGAAGCAAAACAAAAGAAATGCTGGGTAATAAATTATACATATTTTCCGATAGAAGATGTAAAATAAGAATTAATATTTCATCATGCATTAGAGATAGTGTTTTTTTTAGTCAATGTTGCAATCTCCTCCTCTAATGAACAGTGGTTTCAACAAAAAGTCAACAAATTGTACGAAATGCTGCGAAATGAGCTTCTTGAGAGTTTTTGCATTCAAAAAAGCACAGCGATGCAGCAATCTGTTCTAATAAACTTCAAGGGAGGTAACCCTCAAACACAACACGCACAACCGACTCGCTCGTGAATACCTACACGATTACATTATATTAGACATAATATGAGTAAATTTTGCAACTTCATATATCAAGGGAGGTATCTAGTAAGTTAAATAAGATCATGCTTTTTTTCTTTCTTTCTAAGATTTTTTTAATTGTTTTAAGATTCGTTGAGTTTTATATCTTACATATTGTTAACCTTCACAAGGGTTCATTCATGCAGGACCGAAGCTGGCCTCCCTCATTCTAAATTTTACATCAAAATTTATTTAAAACGATGGAATAGATGTTTTGTTTTCAAGATAGGGCGTATACTCATCGTATTCATAATGAACTGTCTGCGTTTTACAACGTATGTCAATAGAATAATAAATTAACAATACAATAAACTTCCCAAGCTGAAATGATTAGACACTAAATACAGCAACATTAGTTGTTATTCTGTGTCGTTCAATGCCTTTATGCGAGTTCAGAGACAGGCGTGTTTTTCCTTAACTTGACATCTGATCTGTGAGCTGAAAACAGTGCTTAAATTATATTTAGTTTCTCCTACATATCAACACCATACCTATTCTAGCATAATTAAATGAGTATATGTTTCCTTAAAGTGCATCTTTATATCAAGTTTACTTGTAGACAGTGGTATCCAGAAAATATATGCTCTTGTGACTGACGTTTGCAATAAGTACTATGGATGAAAGGTGATTTTTGAGAATTTCAAAAATTTTTAAAAATTGTTCTATCGAATATGTCCAAACAAAGAAAATATCAAAATATACTTTGGCATATGTTGAAATCGACCATGAAATGGACGAAAATGATACATCGATGCCATGTCCGGTTGGGATATCTGTTATTCCCGTCGACAGGTTCATTGCTGGACGGATATAAAAAAAAACTATCTAACTCATAGATTAGGCGTTTGAAATTTAATGCAGATAAACCATTGAAAGCTCTTGTGTCTCTTTAAGAATTGTAGACCTCTTTGATTGAAAACAAAATGGTCGTATGATATCAATTAAACCTTTAACAGTCGGTCGTTAGGAAACCCACCGAAAACAAGTTTTGCTTTTTTGCATCATAATTGTATCAATGATGACCAAAGATGATACCTTCGTCCGAATAGGTAACATAAGTCATTGGCATTTTCACGGATTTCCTGGAAGACGTGTATTTCCCTTTAAAACGACTAATGGTGTACTAAGCACTTGCAGGCTTCAGTTGGGTTGTTTGGTTGCTATACACTGTTTAGTGTATGCACTCTTGGGAGAGTTGTTTTATACAGAGCAATTACCAAGCAA